AGCTTGAACCGGTGATAGAAGGCAGGATGGAACCATGCACTCAGGATGTTTATGCCAAATTTTGACCCTACTATCTGTAGTTCGCAGCAGAAAACAGCCCTCATTAGACCAGGAAACATATTTCCAGTGTTTGATTGTTCAATTTTGGTGAGCCTGTTATAATTGTAGCCTCATTTTCCTGTTCTTAGCTGACAGGAGTGACACCCAGTGTGGTCTTCTGCTGCTGCAGTCCATTGTTTTCAATGTTTAACACGTTGAGAGATGCTCTTCTCCATACCTTGGCTGTACAAAGTGATGATTTGAGTTAGTGTTGCCTTCCTCTAAGCTTAAAGCAGTCTTGCTATTCTCCCCTGACATCAGCCATCAACAAGGTATTTTCTCCCAGGCAACTGCCACTCACTGGGTGTTTTCTGTTTTTCAGACTATTCCCTGCAAACACTAGAGATGTGTGTGAGAAAATCCCAGCAGATCTGTAGTTTCTGAGATACTCAGACACACTGCACTGGCACCAACGATCACGCCACTTTCAAAGTGTCTTAAATCACCTTTTTTCTTAATTCTGATTCGAACATTGGCAGGTTGTCTTGACCATGCCTAAGTACATGTGAGTTACTGCCATGTGATTTGCTGACTAGATATTTGCATCAATGAGCAGTTGATGAATAAAGTAGCTGGTGAGTGTATCCCACTGTACTGTGGCAGCTGCTCAGTGTCATTTTTCCTCATTGAAACAATACATCCCCAGTTATCAGGTATGGTTCCACAGTCAAGTAGGTCTTCCTCAAACTAAAACTTTTAACTCAGTTCAATGTGTGCATTCAAACAAAAGAAAAAAGTAAGCTTTGTTTTGAATTCTGACTCAGCAGAACATTTAATGCTGCATTTAAATGTGAGAGGACATTTATTAGACATTTTCACTCTGCTAGGCACAATTACACTGCAGTGACTGCAGCCTGCATCTCCTAGGCTGTGTCATATAAAAGTAAGACAATGTTTCCTGACACGAAGACATTGTTTGCAGCTTCTGAAATTCATCTTAATTATACTGTTTACCAAGAGATACAGGTGCATAAAAAGATGCAAATAGTTACAAACAAGCGCTACACCTGTCAACTATTGCTACCCTGCAATCTGAAGCATAATGGTTTTACTCTCACTGTTAACATAATACATTGTAATGGCTATAGAGTAAGAAACTGTGCAGAAGTAATTAAATGGTTTTGTGGTGCAGGAACAAAACCTAAATTACCAGTAATTTAAAAAAAAAAAAAGTCAATACATTTGCAAAATGTTCAAATGATTGATGATGTAGTTGATAAGACAAGAAATGTTATGTATGGAAGGATTTACATAATAAGTATTTTGTTCTGCTTTGCAATCCTGCATATTAATGTCGGTTAAAATGAATATCAGATCCTTATTGTATAATATAACAGCATAATGTATACTGTGTGTATACATATTATTAAAGCAGGGTAAGATTTCCATTCATATCTGTCAGCAAACACAGTTTCTTAACAGCAACATCAATGTTGGAAAAAAACAACAACAACTTCTTTTGTATGTGACGCATACCAACTTGAAATTGACTCCTGTCTGTTTTCCCCTTGGATCACGTTGAGAACAGCTGTGTAATGAGCCACCATGGACTTATTGTTTGGTCACTGCTTTTTTGCTGTGTTGTTGTTGTAAAGCTTGATAGGCTTGATTGTCATTGGGAAGCTCCATTTTCTGACTTAATGTGTCATTTGTTTAGCTATTTAGATAACAGTACCTTTTATAAACATGCCAGGACAGCTGATGTGTAGCTCTTTTCACTGCTGGTGCTGTGGTGTTTCAAACTGGGGTTAGAGCTCGGGGCTATTTGGTTTGATCAGTTCAAAATGTGGACAGCAACCATGGACAGCAATTTATTTGCTAATGAATGTGCATCGCTCTTCAATTATTTCCTAATTAGTCCATATCTCAGACATTAACAGCTGAAAATTGAATTCCTAAGAAGGCTCTCATGTGAGGACTTCATTGTATTGTTCGTTCAGTTCAGTTTTTGCTGTCAAAGTGCAACTATTGACCAACAACAGACTGCCACACACTAATCAATTAAATGTTATCAGCAGCCATGCTTGCACTGCTGAAACATTTGGACTCAAATTTAGAAGCAAGGGAGTGTATTCAGTGTTACCTCAACTAAAATGAGAATAATGAGGTAGGACTGTCAAACTCTAGTTTGTTGCTATAGATATACACCTACCAGAGCAAAGATTAACTGTCTTCAATAAAACCAGCTTCAGTGCAGTTACATCAGCTGTCAAGGTCTGCTGCACTGATAAGAATAAAGCACCATTGCTTGGAATAATCATCATGGATGGCGGTGATATGCTAAAGTAAAGTATATTTTGTACATTCATGTTAGATTTCAATTTTAATTAAATTCAGTTTATTTATATGGCGCCAAATCACAACAGCAGTCACCTCAAAGTGCTTTATATTGTAAGACTCTAACAAAATATAGAGAAAAGTCCAATAATCCAAAGAATCCCTATGAGAAAGAACTTGGCAACAGTGGGAAGGAAAAAAGGCTTTTGAACAGGAAGAAATATCTGGCAGAAGCAAACTAGAGAAGAGACAGCCATCTGCCGTGAGTGGTTGGGTTTAAGGGAGGGAGAAAGGACAAAAGAAAGGCAAAGAAATGTGGTTGTCTTCTCGTCTAGCACTTCAACATTTCTATTAACATTTCACTTTGCTCATACATACTTGCATTAATCAGAGGTAAGATAAAGGTTGCATTTTCTGTGAGATCTGTGGAAATGACCTGGGTGGGATATTGGCAGCTTTTGACCTTTTGTCGATTTCTTTCAGCTTTTAAAGACCAACACACTATTAGATATAAGATAGACTATAGATAGACTGTGGTAGGAAACAAATTCAAAAAGGTCCATTTTATTCATGTAAAAGTAGAAGTCCAGTGATCCCAGTCTTTTCCCCCTAAATGTGATAAAAATGTCAGCAAAATATTAACAGCTGGTTGAACTGAAGACAGTTCAAATAATGACTCAGACTCTTAAGCCACACAGTCTATACAGCACATAAAATTACAAAACGATGGCACAGACTGGGCTATTTGAAGGAGGGCCCCAGAGTGAGAGAAGCTAAAATTAGGTGTTATATCAGTAACAATGTTACAGTTGTACACAGCTAAGGGGTCAGAAATTGGTCAACTGAAACACTGTAACCATCATCAAACATTTAAAAAAAATTGTGACATGCTGGTCTTTCTCTTTGGATCTCGTGAGCTGTCCCCGAGGCAGCTTTGGATATCATCCAGTATGACATACAATTAGAAATAAAGCGGTCAGCTGTCATGGACAGCACCACATTCATTCGCCCTTCTGTGTGTTGTGGATTGGACAACAGTTGGGCTGACATCATGTTGCCTGAGCATGGAATAAGATCTAAAGTAAAAAGTTTGTTTCCCCAAACAAATGGCTTGAATGACCAAATAAAATGAGACAATAAAGTGATGCATGTTCAGAGTCAAAGTCCTTAAAACAGACCAAAATCACACTGACTTCCACGTCTGTAATCACTAGGAGAAGCTGTTGTGTTTAATAACAATACACCTCTTTTGTCTTCTGACAATGTTTTTTACATCCGTACAGGAGATATTTTGTTGCATTTATTGTGATAAGTATAAACCCGTGCTCATCATAGGCAAAGCTTAAACCTGTATGTGGAAACTTGATTTTTGTTTTGGATGGAGTACTGCAACATAAGGCTTGTGGGCCAGAATCAGCCTGGCAAAGACCCCAATCCGGCAAGTTGGACAGCTTTGGGAAATATAATGGAGAGCATAAATTTCTGAACCTTTAACTGTATTTTTGTACATTTTGCAACATTTCTTCCAGATAAATACCTCCCCAGGGACATTGAAACTACAATAAAGTAGTTCAGTAATAGATAAACATTTAAATGACAGAAACATTCCTGTACTTGATGTAAAATGAGTTTAAAATCCCTGGTGTAGATCAAACAAACACAAGACCTGGACCAAATCAGCTAAGTTCACTTTCAAAGTTTCTTTTTTTTCTTCTCACAACCATGTAATTGATCTCACCATTACTGATTACTGTTGTTACAGTTTTTGATGAGAGAAGTAACAACACATTCATATTTAGAGAAAATAAAATTCTCATTAAAAGGACAGGAGGTTAAAATCTGCTAAATAGTGCTGCCTAAGAGTTTAATTCTGATCGTTCATAATAACTCACAGACTGCTTCTGCATTTTCGTGCCTTTGCATAAATTGCCATCTGCCTGGGAAGCAACAAATGGGCTGGTCAGAAAGGGGTTTTGAGGTCAACTCCTCCCTGTGACATCTCCTTGGACAGGGGACCTCAGTTCACTTCCATCATCTGGAAAAGCATCCACTCTGCCAGCATTCTGATTTTATCTTTAGAGTACTAGTAAAGCAGAGAACAACAGAACAAAGAGTTGGAAACTATATCTACTCTCTGCCACCCTATTCTTCTGTAACTCCAAACTCCCATGGGTTGGGTATGCTAGAACATCAGGCTGAGTGTCACAGTCCGTGTGGCAGACTGTGGGGATGTGGAGGAAAATAGGACCCAAAACACAGGACTGTTAGATGAAGGCAGTGCATTTATTTACAGAGATGTAACAATCCAAACAACAATAAATCCCCAGTGCGATCCCGACTCCCGTTCCGTGTCTTCTCCCTTCTCCAGTGCGCCGTGCTCTGTCTCTGTTCCTTGTGTACAGTCCGTCTGCTGCTTCCTTGTTTCCACAAATCCTCCTGGGGAAACACACATACAAAAGCAGCCGTGAGTACCTTTACATAATGGCAGACTGGCACTTACTTCACACATTTACTGAGAACTGATGGGAAGTCACAAAACGATCCAGTGTCGAGGAGCTCTCAGCCACACTGCTTTGTAGCTCCCCCGACGATGTTTGATCAGCTGCAGGTGTGTGATCATTTTTTTAAGGTGTGGCCAGCCACCTGGCCAGGCCTGGAGATGGCAAAGACTCCAATCCGGGCCTGAAGATGCCTGTAAACAGGTGCTCCCAGACACACCTGTATCCACACGCACACACCCACACATACCTGCCAATACACAAGCATGGAACACCTGCCGAGGCAGGCAATCGGAGTCTAACCGCCAACGCCTAACAGGCCTAGCCTATGCAGATCCAGTTGCTTGTGCCAGAACTAGTGATTTAAAAAATATGAATATGAATATGAATGAATAGTTTTCTTCAATCTTTTAACACAGGTTCTCTCCTGTGAAATACAACTTTTTAAAAAACCTATATACTAATAGGTAAGTATACACTAATATATAATATAAATGAGTGCTGTCAAACAATTAAAACGTTACAGGGTTACAGTGGATTCATTTTGATTAATCACGATTAAATATCATTTATTTTTATTCTATATTAATCGCATTTAATTTTGCATGAGCAAACAGACTCGAGAAAAAAGGGAAAATATACGCACTACCTGATCAACTGCCCATTTGCCCATGTGCAAAGGTAACTCTACTTGCAAAAACTGCCCAAAATGCATTGACAGAAACATTTCAGGGATTTTGAGTCATTCTGCACTCCAGATGCATTAATTGCGTTAAATTTTTTTTATCACATTGACCATGATGGCGGATTAATTTGCATTAACGCGTTAATTTTGACAGTCACTAGGACACTTGTCAGTGTGCCTAACTTGGTTATCCAGTTGGATGAGTTATAAAAATATTCTTTCCACCATTCCCACTGCTAAGAGCCTCTAGACCAGGGGTAGGCAACCTTTCTGATGGCGAGTGCCATTTAAAATTTCCTCAGAAGTCAGTGTGCCATATGATTGCTTTAGCAATAAATTTAATAATGCTCTATATGAACAGTTACACAATATAAACAAAAAAAAGACACATTTTATCCACAACAAGAACTTCATAACAGCATATGGACTGTACAACAGAAAATACAAATGCTATTTATGGTGTCCTCACAACAATGATAAGAAAAATAAACTAAGCCAATATGGCATGTCTGTTAATACAGAGACACACATGTTAATGTCATCTCTGGTCTCCCACTCAGCACTCCAGCATTCAGACGGCTACCTGAGGACATGCTTCGTGTAGGAGAAAATGTGCTCACACAGATATTAGAGCCAAATACTGTCAATAAGGCCTCTGCAATGTTCTGAAGACAGTTAAACTTGTCAGGTAGTGATGTCCAGCAGGTGAAAATGCAAGCTCCATGAACACGCACAGCTGTGGATACCAGCTGCTTCGATGTTGCATTAACTGGCATTAACTTAGCCAGTTAATGCGAGACAAATCTAGCTGCTCATTAAAGATTTCTGGTTTGATCAGAAAATAAAACATTGGTCCATACACCTGAAAGTCCCAAAAATGCATTGTGTCTCCCTAACCTCATTGGCACTCAGACATCCTCTTCAGAGAGCCTTAATGTTTGGCATGATTGTAGCTAAAAGACTTATTTTTAGAGCCTGGAAATCACCATCTCCGCCATTGTTCAGGGTTTGGCTACATGAGATGATTGCTTGTTTGTATATTGAAGAGGTTCGTTATCGTTTGGCTGACACCCATTTTAAGTTTGTCGAAATCTGGGGCCCTTTTCTCAATCATATTAATGGGAATCCAACATAAACTTTAACCCATTTGACTGCACTTTGTGTTTGTGTGAAACTGCACTTCTGCCGGACCCTGATTCCTTCCTGGACTTTCCCACATCTTTTGGTCTTGGTGAACTCTCTGTTGCCCTGTCTAAACTCACGCAGAAGATCATCTTCTTTGAACAATGGTGTTTCTTTTGAACTTTTGATTTGTACTGGCTAACTGGTGTATTTTTTTATTTTTTTTATTAAATTTTTTTTTAAATTTATTAATTAATTTTTTATTTATTTAATTTTTTTCCCTGTTCTTTCCTGTTTTCCTGTTTGGGTTTTATTTTGTTGTGTGTTTGGTTTCTGGTTTCTGGTTTCTGTTTTTTTTTTGTTTTTTTTTCTGTGCTTAAATGTTATTGTTTTTGAATAACTCCACCTTTGTGTCTTTTTTCATTCTAGATGAAGTCCGGGACAAACTGCGTCCCCTCTCAGCTCAACACGAAACGTGTAATAATTTCTCTGAATGCGGGACGATTCCGTCTTTTTACGGGATGGTTGGCAACTCTACTAACTAACCTTATGAATAAAATAAAGTTCACTATCAGTAACATCACAGCACCGACCCAGCTGTATAGAAACTCCGTCATGCTAGCTAGTACGCAGTAGGAGTTATTGTAACTGACGTAACTGACTGTAAAAAGTCAGCACAACGAAAATAAACCCCACCTCAACTTGGTTCATATCTGACTCAGATAGACTGCAGGTCATAACTTCTTACTTGAAGTTCAGTTCACCTGACACTCGGGTCTCTCTTCCTCCTGCCTCCCCTTTCTCTCATCCACCTGCTGGCCTCCACCACTTGCTAATGTTACTGAATCTGTGGAAGCTCCGCGATAGCCACTACCAAACAACTGAGTTATTTTCACACCCCGGCCAGCATCTGGCCAATCCACCACCTTTCATTGTTTACATCGTTACAAAAAATCTTTTAAAAAAATCATCGAGCCACCAAGCAAATGCCCGATGGCCAGTCCAGCTATGGTCGTGCCATCAGTTAACCCTTGTGCCTAGGGTTGCCTACCCCTGCTCTAGACACTCACACCATTAGAGACCATGTTTGGCTTAAACTAAATATTTGTTTAGTTTAAGATCCCTAGCTCTGTCTGTCTTGGTCGTTGTGTCCTTGGGCAAGACACTTCACCTACCGCCTACTGGTGTTGGCCAGAGGGGCCGATGGCCGAGGAGTACAAATACCTGTGAACCATCTTTGACAACCTCCTGAAATTCTCTGCCAACACAGAGGAGATTCTCAGGAGGTGCCACCAACGGCTATATGGAAACTCAACTCCTTTGGAGTCAGCACACCCATCATGATGACTTTTTACTATGCCTTCCTGGAAAGCATCATGACCTTCTTCATTACCTGCTGGTTCCACTCCCTCAGAACTCTGGCACAGGTTTTCAGCCAACAGGCCCTTAGACAGGCAGCCAAAATCATCATCGACCCCTCTCACATTCTTCACTCTGCATTTCAATGGCTCCCCTCCGGGCGATGCCTCCGCTGCACTTCCTGCAGGACTGAGAGGAGGAGAGCTACCTTTGTCCCCAAAGCCACTCTTTGCTTTTTAACTCCAGCAGATAAGACCATTTCCCACACCAGAAACATAAACTACCCCACACTCTTTTTATACTACCGACACTTTATTCACTCTTAGTCACTCACAGTTATTTATTCACCTTTCAGTCACTTTAGTTTTGAACTGTGTAATTTTAAAACTGTGTATACTGTATATTCTGTGTATTTATTATCTCACTCTTATTGCCTGTTCTTATTGTTCTTATCTTCAACGTTATGCTGCTCTGTTGTATGTTAATTGCCCCTTGGGGATAAATAAAGTCTTTCTGATTCTGATTCTGTCAGTCTGCCCCAGGGCAGCTGTGGCTACAACTGTAGCTTGCCTCCACCAGTGTATGAATATGTGAGTGAATGAATAGTGGAATTGTAAAGCGCTTTGAGGGTCTCGAAAAGTGCTATATAAATGCAATCCATTATTATTATTATTATTGTCCTTACAGAACGATGTTTGGTATTTTGTAATGGTCAAGATGAAGGCCACAAGCCAAAACACGCTGTTCTGCTAATAAAGTTGTTTCCTAGTCTTTCAAGTGTTGCTGGAGTAATCACCTGACCAGATCCTTACAGAACAACACAAAAAAAACTGTCCCTTAACTTAACATTTTTGCTGTGTTCTGTAGATAAGCAAAAAAATATTTGCCTGGTTACCAGTTAAATTATCTGTTATTCCTATGTGCAAGAAAACCCATCTGCTCAACAGTAACCCAAAACCCCCAGCCTCTCACCTTGCCATCCAGCACTTAGTATTTCTCAGCCTAGCCAATAATGTTCATTAGCTCTTCCAGATAAAAACAAAGACTTTCTTGTTATCTGCTTTTGCGTTCAACCTAAACCTTTCAAAATTTCATTTAGATCAGGACGATAAATATTAATAAATAAGGTTACCACTGTCTTCATCAGTAGTTTTCTATCCAATTATGCTCATCTTCCCTCATTTTTAAACACAGGGATAAAATAAACACACTGTGCCATCTCTTCTTCTGACTGTCATTTAATTGGTGGTAATACCGCAGAAGCACTAGCTGGTAGTTGGGCCATACGCGTGTCTTTGTGCAGTTGAACATAATCCGCTTGTAGTTGAAAAACAATCAGGCAAACATTTATTTCCACAGTCTTGAAATAATCCGTTTGAATGTTCCTGTACACTGCAAACACGGTAAGAAAACTGTTTGACTCCACAGCTAGTTAAAGCCCCGTTACTCCACACTGCCAGTCGCGAACGCTCCCCCCGTGCACAGTTACCATGTATTAAAGGAACAGTACATAAAAATGAAATAAGGAAAGAAAATACAATTTAACTGTAAATCTTATCCTAAACAAATTATAAAGTAAAAACTGAAATTCCCCATTATCTTACACTTATCCTTATCCAAAATGATTCAAATTATTAACAAATATACACTCTGTGCAATCTGAGTAAACTAACAGATGATTAGACCTTTATCTTATACAGTTGGAAGAAAAGAATAATCAATAAAAAAAAGAATAAAGTTGAAACACATTAATTGGGTTTTGGTGCTTTTGACACATTATAGAATCCAAAACTGAATCTGCATAACAATAGAGATAGGCTTGACTTCATAAACCTTTGAATGCATATCTGTTTATTCTGTCTTATTGAGAGACAATATTTAGAAAATGGACTTTTAATTAAACACTAAATTGCTACCATCTGAAGTACAGTGCAATGAACCTGCTGTCATCCCTTCATTAATCAGGACCAAGATGTTCTGCTCTCAGAATGCACCTTGTTAATTTTCCAAGCGCCAACAAATTACAGTCCTCTGTGTTACTCATTCATCCTTGTGAGTTATCACAAATGAGTTGCTTTTCTTCTTGGTTTGGCTTTATCACTGATTTACATATGAGAGCTCACAAACTCTTTGCTAGTGCCATACGTTCAGCAGCACTGGGAGAACAGCACAAAGGATGATCAATAGTCACATGCCTGGCTGCTTTCACACTCTATTTGGGGACCCGAGTGTGTGGCATTTATTTTTGTTCTCTCAGATGTCTTACTTTGATCTAAAACGGTTCATTTATTTTCAGGTGAAGTGCAATAGTAATAAAGTGCTGATGAGTGAAAAAGAATTAGGTCCTTTTGATGTGAAACAAGAGATTTCTCTATGTTATTTTTGAAAAAAATCAGGGTTCACAAATGTGCCTTCACTCTTGAAGACAGCTATGTGATTTCATACAAAGTACCTTCATTGTATGACTGAATGTTTTTGTTACATTTTAGATTTTTATTTCCAGCTCTTCCTGTTTCACTTGAGGAGAAAAACAGACTACTAGGAATATCAATTTAGTGACACCATAGGCTCCACTTTTTGCAGTAATCTTCACTGCAGTATTAATATTTGAACACAATGAAATGGAAAATAAGCTCAATTATTTACATAGTGTATGACTAACATGAAAAATTTTCTTTAATTGTTAAATAATAACTGGCATTTATAATAAGAATTATAAAGAACACTGTTGAAACAACAGTATGTGAAACCAAAAAGGAGGCGACTCTCACCCTTCTTGACTTCAATTTGACTCCATTCTTTTAGACTTTATGTTCTCTTGCTTCATGTGCTGTTTGGTTAGATTTAAGAACCAACACTACTTGGTTAAGGCTATCCCACATACTTAAATTAACCACCGGTCCAATTCCTAGCAGCAGTGAATCCATACAAGAATTTCCATGTACCTATTCATAAAATACCTAAGGGTCTTTTATAATGAGCCGCTTATTGTTTACTTATATGACTGGCTGACACAGTAATCACTGTTTGCTATTGTTTTACTCGCTATGTGTATCTACATCACTCTGCATTCAATCATTGGTAAATTAATATTATATGTATATATGACTTTCTTCTACCTGTCTCTTGTCTTAACCCAGTATAACGGCCAAATATGTAATGTAACGTGCCAGTCCAATGTGTGTATGTATCGCTTTGCCTCTCCAAAGTGTGAAATGGACCTGCATGCAGAAGTTCCAGTAAGCTACAGTACCAAAAGAGGGAGATTTTTTATGTCAAAGAGACATTGCTAATACATTTACATGTAAATACATACCTATCTTAATCATTTGTAAGAGGACCCTGGAATGCACTTCATACCTTCCTTGGCCACTACTAACTTCTTGGCTTTAAATATATTACCTCCTCCTGCTGGAAGTGCAACTTCTGCATGTATATTCATTTCAAGTTTTGGAAAGGCAAAGTGTGACATGTACACATTGAAGTGGCGTGTCTGATACACTCTTTGCCATGATATTGGGTTGTTTGTTCTGTTTCCCTCCCCACAAGAATCATTAAATAAAGAACTAAAAAAACTGAGCCATGTTGGCCATTATTAAACTATGATTCCTCTCTCTGCAAATAACATTTTCAATTATCATTCCTAGTGCTATTAGCAAAGTCATACACCATTTCAGGTCACTGAATGATAGTTTTAAATTAGCCTCAAATCATTTATATGAAAGAGATTTGACTTGAGGTTCCAGAATTTTTAAGTTTGTGACTCCATCAAAAAGGGCCAGTGCCTGGGCCTCTATTTATACACACTTATGTATGACAGCCTTTCAGTTTGAACTCATCAACCCATGCATGGGAACTAATGAGCTGAACTAGTGTGTCCAACTTGTGGGTTTGTCCAAAGCCAAATATGAAAAGCTTTCCTAATATTTGGATTAAAGGCTATATTGCATTTTTCAGATTGTTTTGGGGGGTTTTTTGGTTTTTTTTTTTGTTTTTTTTAATGAAACAGTTCATAGATTTTTTTAATGCCTCTTAAAGTCAGTTTTCCCTTTTTGGTTGACCTACTTATGATTCATGTCGTCACTACTTGGAATTGTTAGACAGCTTGCCTATGGATTTTGCTTATTGCTTCCACTTGCACTTGTGCTACAACCAGCTGATTCCAGGTTTTGTGCTGGAGGAGGAAAATAGTGGCGTAGTCTGCACCCTGGATATGACAATTGCTTTTATTTTTATTGCACAAGTGGACGAGAGCATGGTGGTTAAGTGGAAACTGCATCCATGACAGAAATAGCTGCATTATGCTGCAACCCCCCCCCCCCCCAAAAAAAAAAACAAAACGTTAGCTTTGCAAGCATCTGCATAGAAAGCATGCCAACGCTAGCCAAAGTGATGTTAAAGCTAAGCCCAGCCCAGCAAGCAGACCCTGAACTTCAGCTTGTAAAGTTCAGGGTCTGGTTGTTGGACTGTTTCTACCTGTTCATGTTTCTAAAGTAATATGACATTGGTGATCACTTTAAAGTTTCTTTTTGGTGGTATTGATCTTTCGTTTGTGCTGTTGTCTTTTTTTTTATTATCCCTAAATACTAAAGGAAAGATCATATGTGTGTCCACAGGATAGGGATTTGTGTTGGTGTATGAGAATGTAGCCTATGGGTTTTATATTGTTAAATGGTAAATATAAGACAATGTGTTTCATGTCAAGACAATCATTTACTAAATGTAACAAATTATTTTTGCCTGGAAGTAATTAAGTATGTAATTAAGTGTACTTTATTACAGAAAAATGTGTAATATGTTTTTTGAGTAATGACCCCAACATCAATCACAGCAAAGAGGGGAAATACTTCCAACATTCACAAACATTTGACCACACAGCACACAAATAATTTGGATCAATGTAATACCTTTGATATGTTGGCTTGTGATGATGGTGACTCTCAAGGCAGAGTCAATGAGAACCCAATGAGAATCAATAAGGAATTGAATCAGTGATGCAATCGGAATCGTTAAATTCTTATCAGTTACCATCCCCAGGCAAACAGATAATCATCAGTTGTTCTCTTGGGAAGAGCTGCTGAACAACTTGTTAAAGCAAATATCTCATCACCCATCAATGTGCCAAAAACACAAAACAGTTAGGCATGTTGATATGGTCAAGATGACCAAAGATGAAGCTCAAAAGGAGCTTTAGGATGGGGAAGAAAAAAAGAAAACAACTATGAGCCGCAGTTCTCTGGGTAAAAATATGTTGCCCCTGCTGCTTAAGGTTGATAGGAAAATAACAGTGACTAGAATAACCACTCATTACAGTGAAGGTATGCAGAGGAGCATCTGCTGTTTTAGCCCATCTTGCTAAAACAGCAGAAGACCGCAAAAAGGCGCAACTCATGTCTGCTAAGAACAGGAAACTGATGTTACAATTTACACAGCTCAACAAATTTTGACAATAGAAGATTGTAAAAATGATTCCTGATCTAATATGTCTCAATTTCTTATCCAACATTTAGATGGTAGGGTCAAAATTTGACACTTTGAGCCCCTTAGCACCAAACAAGTGTCTTTTAGTGCTACAGCCTACCCGAGTATTGCTGCTCATAGTGTGTTTGTCTGCCCAATGTTTAATTGAATGAGAATATAAAAATGGGAAAAGATTTTGTATAATATGTTAATTTTATTACACATATAGAATAGCAACACCTTTTAAGGACAACTTAGAGTAGGTATTTCAGTCCATCTATAGTGTTTCACATGTTGTCTTTTATATTATTACTGAATCATTAAAGTACAAAGTCCACTTCATTATGATAAGCATTCTATTGTACCTACATTAAAAAAAGAGCTTGGTGCATTACATAAATTATTGTTTATTTTTTCTCTTCTTCCTTCTCTTCTTTGGTGTCTTCATCTTTTCTTTCTTCATCTCCTCCTTCATCTGTTTTTTCCTCTTCCTGCTTTTCTTCATCTTCTTTTGTCATCTCAATCTTTTCCTCTTCTTCCTTTTCCCCTTCTTCTACTTTTTCCCCTTCTTCCTTTTTCTCTTCTTCTACCTTTTCCTCTTCCCTTTTCTCCCCACCCCCCTCTTTCTCTTCCTTTTTATCTTCTCCTTCTTCCTCATCTTCTTCTACCTCCTCTCCAGTTAAGCGCTCAAGATCTATAATACGATGTTTTAGAGTTTTGTCTGCATTTTCGTTATTTCGTAAGATCTTCTTCAGCTTGACTTGCATCAGCTCCATGGTACCATACAATTTGTTTACCTTCTCCTCCAGCTCTTTTTGCTCAGGTTTGATATTAGCTGGATCCAAGTCTATAAGACCATCTTTCATCAGGATCTGCCGACCCTTATCCTCAAGCATGCCTTTGGCATCTGGATACTCTGACAATGATTCCATCAGGTCATCCTTGGAAAGGCAGAAGAGCTCTGAGTATCCAATGCTGCGAATGTTGGCGGTCCGCCTGTTACCCGCTTTGCTACCTTTAATATTAAGAATACTAATCTCACCAAAATAGCTGCCGCTTCCGAGTACAACAAATTGTGTCACACCATCATCGGCAACGACTGCCAGTTTTCCATCTTTGATAATATACATCTCACGACCAATGTCGCCTTTCTTACAGATATAATCTCCAGGGCTGAACACCTGTGGGCGGAGTTTGAGCACCAGCTCAATCAGCAGGCCTGCCTCACAGTCTGCAAAAATCCGAACTTTCTTTAGCGTCTCCATGTGGACTTGGATGGCTATTTCTGCTTTTAGCTTGTCTGGGAGATACCTCAGCACTTCTCTTTCATCCTGTGCCTTGCCATTATTCCACAGATAGTCAAACCACTTGATGACTCGCAACTCTAGGTCCTTACTAACCTTTCGAACCTGCAAATGAAAAGAAAACAAGAGGATTAAAATAATATTTAAAGACTAGATTATTTTACTACGTCTTTTGATCTAGACTTTTTTGATCAATGTTTATTTACCTGCATGTACTGCTTAATGTTGTCAATGCGGGACTGGAACTGGGCTTGGGCTGCATTCATGTTGGAGATCATGGTGGCAATGTTTCCCACAATGGTGGCAAAGATTAGGACTCCAACTAAAAAGTCCACAACATGGAAGAGAAATTCTGAGTCCAAAGCTGGTGGTGGGGTTTCTCCAATAGTTGTCAGAGTCAGTGTGGACCAGTACAGGCTGAAAGCATACTTCCTCATGGGCTGTCCAAACTCAGGCTCCTCAGGATCATCCAGAGCAGGGTAAACCCAGTCATCAGCACCAAATCCAATAGATTTGGAAAAAGAGAAATACCAGCAAGCATTCCAGTGGATGATAATAAGGATGTACATGATAAGGTTTGCAATACGGAAGATGTTGGGGTAGTTGGTTTTAGTCTCTGTTTTGGTAAAGAACTCCATCATGCGCCCAATCCTCAGAAGCTTGTTTATGCGGATCTCTGGGTAGTCAATGCCAAGGACGAAGTAGAAGATGTCAGTGGGCAGCATGGAGAGAACATCGAGACGAAACTGAAAGCTGCTGATGTATCGATCCAAAAGTAGCTTCTTATCTTTCACTAGTAGGCCTTGTTCAAGGTAACCTGCAGTTGAAAGACATAGTGTTTACCATTTACAGGGACATTGTGTTTTTAAATACTATATGGAATTGAATGTTCCCTTCTACTGCAACAATCACCTTTTAATTGCACACAGGATCACCATTCAAACTGTAATTATTAGCAGCTTTAAGATTTGTAGTTGGTGGTGTAAATAATGCTCTAGATATCTTATAGTAATGCAGTTTCAACAAGTCTTTTTTTTTCTGTTGATCAGAGTACAAAAATTATATCCAGAAAGGGAATTCATGTTAGAAAGGGATGTTTTCTAACATGAATTCAGCTGAAGGCTTCAGCAGTACAAATTTCCATTTTGAGTCTTGCTGGATGATAGTTGATTGCTGTGCTGCAGTAGAGAGACAGAACCACACCATCACTTACATATAACATGACCAGGAGAAACGATGACATCACTGGCCACTCATTTCATCTGTGTAAGTCTAATTAGTGCTTTGAGGAAAACTATATCACATTTTGAAAATATTTCTGCAGAATGGTAAGGTTAGTCTTTCACCTGTTCTGGCCCTGAAGAACATATCAGCCAGGTAGATAAGGTCTGAGGTGTAGTCCAGAATAACCCAGTAAATTATGTAGTCATGCTGCAACTCCTCAAAGCAAGCCCTGTTTGCAAGAGAAGACAACCACCAGCAGTGAGGGTGGTTTGTAAATTAACAATGTTGAATATCTCAGCACTATGTCCTGTTGTGCTACTGTCACACCCCATTAACCCAGTAATCTGTACTAACAGAAAAAAAGACAATACAATGTTAAAAAACACAACTTCTCACTTTAAAAAACAAAAAAACAAAAAACTATTTCTGTACATGAAAGCAAACTGTAGCTAAAAGTAGTTTTAATGAAGTAGGATATTACAAACAAACAACCAAATGAAATCATGTAAATATTTGACCTTTAGTGATGGAAGAATGACTGATTTATCAAGGTCACCTGGCTATGATCATGGTCCAATTATACATCACTGGTAGCGTAATGATAAACAGCCAGTTGTAATACAAATTTCCAGCAGGATTAATGACAAATATTTCTGCTGGCCTGTGGAGGAAAGAATGAAAGTGTAAAATAAATACTCAAAATCATACAACACATAAATTTATTTTGAAGTTTCTGTAAATTATGTACTTACTTATCTTTGTCCTTGCTCTTGTCTTTCTCTTTTTGTTTTTCTTTTTCTTTCTCCTTTTCTTTTTCTTTTTCTTTTTCTTTCTCCTTTTCTTTTTCTTTTTCTTTTTCTTTTTCTTTCTCCTTTTCTTTTTCTTTCTCCTTTTCTTTTTCTTTTTCTTCCTCCTCCTTCTTCTCCTTCTCCTTTTTTCTGTAATGTGCAATAATAAATTAGAGAATACTGAGCACCGGTTATCCTTAATAACATAGTAACATTTCCTAAAAGGTGAGGAGATAAAAATCAATACTCTTTCTTTTCCTTCTTTTCCTTCTTCTCCTTTTTCCTTTTTTTCTTTTTCTCTCTGAAAAAAATGATTAATGCAACATGTTTAACGTGATTACAGGAATCTAAGCCTTTACTTTTTTCATGACTCCAAAATGTACTTACTCTTCATTGTTGTTGTTATTGTTCGTGTTGCCTATATGAAGAGGCGTTGATTGAGGTGAACTTCTGAAACAAACACAGCACATTTTATTAACTGACAAATCTTTGCTTTTTAGTCATTATTATTCTTTGTGTATTTATATTTAAGTTTTGCTCACATGTCATCGTCACTGTCACTGGTAAAGTGAGGTGGAACATAAGGTGGCGAGGTGAGCAAGGCCTGGGTGGCAGTGGCCATTGCAGCAGAACTGTAGAATACTCTGCAGCAATAAAATATTTTTCAGGATGACAACTTCAGACTAGAATTTAAGTACTGTTGGGTTCTAAATTGGTTTACACATATTTTAAACTGAAACAGGACGTATTTTGGCAGTTCTTTGATCACCTAGCTTTAAAAGAAAAAAAAAACTGAAAAATATATCTGCTTTTTGATTTATCATAGGAACTTTTTGATTTGATTTGATTTGATGTTTTCTTTTTACAAACAAGAGCAACCCATGGAAGCAGAAATGTGTTGTGCTGTCAAAACTTGTTTACTGAGACAACAAATAAGTATATAAATGATTAATGCCTGAATGAATGAATAACTAAATACATACAATTCTTACAAATGTAATATATATATATATATATGAATAAATCAATCCATTAAAAAAAAGATTTTACTGTCTTCATCTGCATCATGTGTCACTTATATCGAATGTTACTATTGTATTTGTAGTGTCAGTCTCAGCTGGTAAGCACATTGTTATACAGGTCTAAATGAATTATTTAGCCATACACGTAGATGATGCTACAAAAAGAACTTACAGTATCATGTGACTAAACTTACCTTTTCCGATCCTTAATGTAATTTAAAGTCCATTTCCCTTTAGTTGTGTACTTTCCTGGAACTTAGACACTCACGGTATCCACAGATTTATTGTATCATCAATCACTGAATGCTATTTAATAATGTATAACAACATGTAGCTAGGCAACTAACACCTGTAGGTACTGAGTCCATCTAACTGTGTCATAGAGTCTCAGTGACCCTGATGAGGATTTGGGGATTAGACTTGTCTGAGGAGAGTGGAGGCAAAGTCAATCATCCTCCCTGCTTGTCCACTCCAGCGGGAGATGAGATACATTTAAGTGAAGTTTCGACAAGCCTCAGTTAACCTCCTACTCAGGATCCACAACACTGAAAACCATTATGTGTTGACATTGTTTTTAAAATTCAGCAACAAGCTATAATTTTCCTGATCATTTGCGAAACAGAGGATTTAGTCTGCTTGCACACACACACGCTTACACGCACTCTAACACACACACACACACACACTACTCCTGCTCAGTCAGCACTCTCCTCCATATCCTCCTTTAATCCTATTAGATCATGTCCAGTAGAACAGATTCCAGATCAGGCATAAAAGAACAATAATGTCTCGTGTGAAATCAAAGCAGAACCTCTATCGGTGAATAACATGTACAGGAGTATACTGTAGAAATCCTGTGGTTCAGTGGCTCTCCCTGTTGGCTGATGTGGTGTTTGCAGTTTTATGACAGCAAATTTCACAGTTTGCATTTGAGCTGAAGCATCTTTGCAGGAGTTTAATGTCCTTTAATTTGTTTTGGTTTAGTGTTGAAATAAGTATAAATTGAGATGACATTGTGTGATTTTGATGTGTTTATGTCACTGATGAAACTCAGGGGAACATTGACTAGAAGGAAACACTGTTGAGGTAACAGTGGCACACAACAAGATAAAGATCGTGTACACAAAATACTGATATGTTATTTTTTGGCACTTTAATGGTTTAATACTGTGGACAGTACAGCAAAACAATAAAACATAAGACAATCCTCAACCATTTATACAATGTGTTGATGAGTAAGAATAAACTTTCAATTACAGAACTACAGAAAAAGAGAGAAACCACAAACAAAAAAAACCTTTTTAGATTAGGTCTGAAAACACATTTTGGTTATTCTCTTTACAAAGTGTTCAATTTTTTTCCCAATTAATTTTTTTAGTCTCTTTTAACTACATCACCTGTATCTGTTTTCAGCTTTTGTTCCATTTGCTAACAGAGGAGTATATTTGCTGGTGATGAGAGGCAGATTACAGTGCAGTGGGATCTGCTGGCCCTCCTGTCATGTTAGCCTCACCGACATCAGTGGCACGGGCGTCAACCTCAGCTGGGACATCAGCAGCAGCAAGTATATCGGCGGTGGCAGGGGCAGCTGGATCAACGGCCACCTCAGGGGCTGCTGGGGCACTGTCAACAGGAACTACATCAACAGGAGGTACATCCACAGCAGCAGCATCATCAACTGGAGCAACATCTATGGGGACGTCAACTACAGCTGGCTCTACCGCTGCAGGGTTTGCTGAAGGCTCTGCTTCAACCATGGCTGGGTCGGCCTCAGCTGCTTCCACCTCCTCGGCCTCCTCTACCTCATCAGAGTTTAGCAGGGCACGTCCTGCAGCTTTGGTGGCAGGGTTACCATCCTGTGCCAAAGAAATGGGAAAAAATCATGTCTTATATATGTTGACAAAAAATGATGAATTTTTGAAGTTAGCTGCTTCATGTTCAGGGTTTATGCTTGTGACGCTGTCATATTTAAAGTTATTGTTTGAACTAATGCTCCAGCAAAATGTGTAACAGTCTATGTTTCTTTGGCTTGTTACACCCGTCAGAGTGTCGTCTGTCCTGAATGTGTCCTTTTCTTGGTCTAGCTTTCTGTTAACAGTGTTTGCACATAGCGTCTACCGCCGTTGTCAATTTAGCCTAAATTTATTTATTCAGGTCTCTGAGGAAAATTGAGAAAAGCCTCAATTTATTCTACAATGGAATGTGTTTGTTCTACATGCATTACAAGTTTTTCCCAGTTTGTTTTTAGCTCTACACTTAGGCTATTCTTAAACCAATCCATTGTGGACAGAGAACTTGTTGTGAATAAACAAGATACGAGAAAATATTAGTAAATATTTCTCTAAACAGGGAAGAAAATGTACACATGAATTTCTCAATAACAATCAATATACAGTTCAGCATGAAACTATGATGCCTGAGCACCTCTGTCTCCTCCTCTGAAGCATCTCCAACAGGGACGGGAGCTGGAGGAGGGACATCAGCAGGTTGGGCTGGTGCTGCATCCACCTATATTAAATGTATATAGCCTATATTATTATTTGTAATAATAATATATATAACAGGAAATAAATGTGTATATGCAATGTCACAGTGCTGTGTGTATGCTCACAGTGGCCCCAGCTGAGACAGCCTAAAAGAACATAATTTTATGTCAGATTGCAAATAAGTAACACACAAACTTCAGCAATCATGCCAAATATGCTTATTTTTAGTTTTCACAAAAATCCACCACTAAGCTCCTGTAAGAGGCTAACAAGAGTAAACTTACGGGAGAATTAGCAGAGGGAATGAAGGGATTTTGGACTATTCCCTGGAAAGAAACAACAATAATAGGAATTAAAACAGATTTATAATCATAAATGAGCATTCATGGAAGGTCTATCTGAAGTTCTTTTTTACTTCAAACATCAATGAACCCCCATTACCTGCTGCTGGTACAGCCTGTACATCTCCATCCACCTCAGGGCCTCATTAGCATGTGCTGCAATCTGCAAATAAATACCAGGCATCTTCAGACATGCGGTGCAATTAAGCCAATTATACCCTGTCTGTCAGACAACGATCATAGTGCCCAACTGATGGCATGACAAAAACATAGCATTACATGTCATAGCAGACAGATCCAACACTCAAAACAGAAAAGTTGAAAAGGCCATCTTACCTCACTGCTTTCGCTTGCTGGAGCCTGCAATTTCAGAAATAGAAGTGAGCAAACAACAGTTAGATGTGGATCACTGTGTTTTAAAATGGTATCAGATGGCAGATTTAATAATACACAATATTAGACTTACAGGGGCAGCGAGAGTAGAGACCAAGAGGCACATGAAGAGAACAAGCTGCTTCATTTTGACAGGTTCAGTAGAAAAACCTGTATAATATAACATACAACCCAGACTTTTATCTCAATTTTTCTTAATTTTCTTTGCTGAATAGGGGGGGCACTTTAAGAAAATCAAGAGAGAAATAGTTTAAAAAAATTATATTAAAAATATTTGTGAAAACAACAAGGTTGCCCCAAAAAATGAGAAATTGTTTCTGTTTGTAAAGTCACCTTACCTTGTTGTCCTGCAGAGAAACTGTGAAAAAGTACCTCAGTAGAAAGAAGTCTACTTCTTGTCCCTCATGGATGCAATTTATATACTGCTATATCACGTAGCAGCCAATCCCATCCAGTAGAACAGGCACACCTATGTGTTTGAAGAATTATCCTTACATGTCAAAGGTAAAAAAAAAAGAGGTATCCAGGGTTGAGGCCCCTGTTGTTGTTAATTACATGCTATACAAGTATGCTTAGCACATATGCCCACCTTTACTGCCCTAAAACCAAACTTTGAAAAAAAAAAAAAAAAACAGAGAGAGACGCCATGAAGCAGACATAAGCATGTAATGATATGACAGAGAGTCCCTACTTAGTTTGACTTGAAAACAGTGAAAAGGAAACTTAAATGAACTTAAATATCTGCAATATCTTATTACTAAAAATAATGTAAGTACTGGTGATAGCTACAGAAACATGAAATACAATGTTGATCCTTCTCGCTTGAACAGAGGTTATAAGAACATCTACTCAAGTATTGCACTTTTTCAGCTCTTTCTTTTAGCTTAGCATTTTAAAGGGTGGGGTATTTAAAAAAAAGTTTTTTTGACTGACAACAGACATTATGTTTCATTATGCATACAGGAAATAATGTGTAGAAATGTATGTAAAGGCTGGTTAGCCTTTACATACATTTTTCTCATAATCTGTTTTAGTCTAAGAAAGAATTCTGACCCCATGTAAAATACCCTCTGCAATGGGATATTTTACACTGTATGTATTACAACAATTGTGTGACTTAAGTTAAACAACTACATATTTTTTCTCAATTGAACACCACATTTTACACAAGTATTCCAAAGATTATTTTCATCTACTGAAACTTACAGTGGGTGTAAGTGCCAGTGGGAAGCACCACTTCTATAGCGTCTGAGTTTTAACTAAATGTGTTTGCTTTAACTGGCGTAGCTGTTCATCACAGTGATTTTGAACATTATAGCTCACATATGTTTATTTTTTCAGGTTCCAGATCAGATAATGAAGGAGTTGGTCTGTAATTTGCTGAACTCTATACTATTCTGACCTCAAATCTGCTGAGCTAATCAACTTTGTCAAAAGATAACAATCTCTTCATTAGTCATTTAAAAGTTAACAGTTGATATCGTGCCATGTAGTTAGATTATTCCTGTTTTCTCCTTTGAAGAAAAACTGCAGTTATAAAAATGTGGTTGCAATGTGATCATCTGTTTCAACAGGAATATAGAACTTTTAACTCTCAAACTTTGCTTTGTTTCAGAAGGCTACATTGTTGCTTTGACAAACAAATGCTTTAATTCTTTTTTGTTTCTTAGAACAACATCAAAAGCAACAGAACGAAATAAAGCTTTTTTTTTTTTTTTTAGGTTTTTACTTACTTTTAGTAAAAATCTAAAAGTGTGACTTGCATCAAAGCTCTACAAAGCCTCTACATAGCAGTGAACCTCATAACTGGGTGTGGCTCACTTAAGGTAAACCGTCATAAAGAACCTCATTCAATTCACTGGAGTAAAGTCTTCTAAACTTTTTTCAATGACTAGCATGAAGCAGATCCTCTTCCAGCTTTATAAAAGTCTATAGAAATGCAACCCTTCAGCTCCCTTCAGTGAGCATTTTCCTGACAAGTGATTCAACCCTAGTTTCAAGTCTTAAGGTATACAAGCAGCAATGGTTGCGTTGCTTTGCCACTGCAACCTCATCTCACAGTCATTTGAATTTATAGTTAAGCCCTTGAAGCTGCTGCAGTATTCTCCTGAACGATAGTTGTCACCACTCAGACAATATCTTAAACATAAGTGCTGATAAAGGAGGAGAACTTAAAAAGGAAGCCAAGACTGTGCCTGTTGCAAAGTTTTTTCCACAAAATCGACAAAACAAGTTTTCAAAGTGTTCCAACATTTCCGTCTGTATATCTGTGTGTCTTCTGAGCTTCTGTACACGATTGTACACTTGAGTTTTTAACCTATCTGTGGCAGCTCCAGCACAATGTGCCAGGTTACAAAAATCAAAAGTGCACGTCCGGCCACAAAGATTGTGTCGTGCAACACATGTTGTGATGTTAA